CGGAAATGAGATAACGATGGCACTACTGTTTGTGTGCCCTAAATATAAAATATAATGTTCTTAATAAAGAATTCATTCTATATCAGATTAAAATCAATTAGTTTAATCAATAATTAATAATCATTTTTTAAAAAATTTTATATGTAAACAAAGTGTGCATTGTTGATATTATTTACGACAATAAATCCAGGATACGATATCTATGGATAATAAGTACAAAGAAAAGAGAAAAAAACTAGGTCAATCAAAAGCAAATATAGAGTAGACGAGATGATGATATTAATGATACATGCTTTAACAAAGCATAGAAAAGAATAGACAAATCGAGATACATATTATGTGATTATACTATAATAGCCAAATGATGATATCAACGATATCTGTTTTAACAGAGAATAGAAAAGAATAGACAAATCGAGGTACATGTTATGTGATTATACTATAATAGACTACAAAGACTTATTCGAACAGAGAAAAGAGAGAATAAAATATAGATTTGAACACCGTGTCACATCACTATTTAAACAGAGAGCAATAGACAAAATTCGTTTCACATCTAACTATTATTCGTTTTTAGATTTGGTGCAACAACAAACAAGTATCTATCGTTATACTTGTTTGTAAACGCTATTTTTATTGAAGACGTTGTTTTCATCATGTCGTCTTCAATAAATAATTCGATCAGCGATGCACTAAATAAAGATGAAGAAACCAATTAACTTCTCGAACAACTTGATCAAATTCTTAAACGATCTGAAACATATATCGATTCAAATAAGCCATGTCACGAAGTGTGATTCTTATTTCTTCAAATTTCTTTTACATTTATTCTTTATAGGAAATGTGAATTCTTGATAAAAAAAGCTGAAGAAGGACCGAAAATTATCAAAAATGAAATTGCTTATGTATCTCATCTTGATAAAATCTTTGATAAAATTCTTGGTAAAACAATCTATATTATTCAAAACTATCACATTTTCATTTTCTCTATTCCATTTAGTCAATGTTATTGATAATAAACAATGTCATTCAACAATGACATCCATCGAAGTAGATATCAATCAGCGAGTCTATGGGCTTTTTTATTTCAAACTGAATTCTAAAATCAGAAAAAACCACACCAATTTCTTCCGAATCAAACTTTTCTCGTTTGATACTACGTAGTCTCACTAAAAACCCTTAGTCCCCCCTAGTCCTGCAAAGTCCCCCTTAGTCCCCCCACAAAAAGCTTAGTCCCCGCTTAGTCCCCTGTGCAGGGGACTAAAGCCTATAGTACACAAAACCACAAGCACACCCTCACTCGCGCGCCCACACCCGCACCATGGGTGTGGGTGTGTGTGTGGGTCCCAGACCAACACCCACACCCTCAGTCACCCCCCCCCCTCACTCCTAGACTCACGTTTCAGTTTGAAATCAAGTATTATTTTTATTTGATAAATTCAGACTGAAATTAAATAGCCCATTGTATGCAATCAGCAAGTATTTTTCTTCAAATAAAACTAAACTCTATTGTATAAAATATTATTTTAGATTAAAAGGTGAAATAAAAATTTGTAATGATGGTTATGGTATACGTGTTCATAAACGGATTCAAGATGAATCAATCTATATTCATTTTTGGCAAACTTCTCACATTAGATAATTTCAATGATAATCAAAAAACGAATAATCAGTACGATTTCAAAGTCACTGAATGTTTCTTGTTTTCATTTTTATTTATTACAATAGATGATCGAAATGGTTATGATGCAAAAGTAACAAATATTTTTTAGTACAAAATTTATCACTGAAACATCTTCAAAAGGATATTTAAAAAAATCATTTAAACAAGTACGTTTTCTCTGTCTATCTATTGTTTATTAAAAGAACACAAATTTATTTAGATTTGGTCAAACAATAAGTGTCATTCACAAGATACAATTATCAATAAAACATGTCATAATCCAAAAGAATTTACTTGTATTATCCCATGTCGCAAATACCGAATCACTTTTAGCGGTAAACCGATGAAAACGGAAAAACCGACGGTTAACCGGTAAAACCGACAGTTAACCGCGGTAAACCGCCGGTTTTAATAAATACTGCGGTTCAGCGATAATTTTACCGGTTAATTGTAGTTATCACAGAAGAGTCTTCGATCTCAAATGCTATGAAATTTCACCAATAATTACTCTATAATAAGATGTCTAGCTGTAGGTTTTGGTCGAAATAATCTCCAAAATAGGAGAAGACTATTTAATTTTTCAATAATTATGAAATATGTGCTTTAGCTATGAACAATCTTAGATTAACTATGATTGTTGACATCAGGATCAATGTTTATAAAGATATTATTGTCAACAGTAAAGCTTTAATCTATCATAATGAATATTTAAAAGGGAAAATTTATCTTTTTCGGTTATTTTACACATGTTTCTTACAACAAACAAAGAGAAGCTTACGTTAGCTAACAAAAAGCAGAATTTAGGTAAGTATTTCTCAAAAGACAGGGAAGTCTTCAAAATTGAGTCACTCATTTTCCGAAGCCTCGTTCTAGCCACAAAGCATACTCGAACGATCTAAAATGTATGAACTTTTCGCTGACTGCTAAAAACAATTGAGACCATTGCTAGATTGAGATCACCAAGATTATACGTCTGATCAAATGACGTTAGAGTAAACTTAAATCGTTAAGAGTTTTAAAATAATTTTGAGTATTGAAACAATCAAGTAATAAATTTCAATATTAATGTGGAAGTTTAGGCATTGAATAAGATAATATAATATTCTTGATGTACAAGAAATTGGTGAGTCATCAACAAGTCAGCCATGTTCCAAAATCGTAAGTATTCTTATATGAATGAATGCATTATATACGAGTGAAGCAAGATTTATCAAGAGAAACTTTAATAATAATCGAGTAAAATATCAAAAGAAATACTAGTGGAAGTTAAATATCTGATCTATTCATTTAATAAACAAACTGAGTTTCATATAAGCAATTTTGCGATTGTACTTGTTTCAATAAATCAGTATCAATTGATGTGTTCTAGTCAGTTTCCTAATTCTTCCAAAATAAGTTTTAAAATATTACGAATATTTAAAAAACAGTGTTGATAGGTGGTTTATTATCATTTCTGAATGTCAAGATACTTTGTTTGTTGTTATTTAATAGCGAAATATCTCCGGAAATTTGTTATGAATTCTGATTGTCCATATTTTATCTCTAAATTTTTGTATAATTTAGATATTGTTTTCCACATAATCACTTGGTCGTTTTATGCTTTTTTTTCTAGATCTTCAATCGTTCTGATGGAGTTGAAATTGATATGATGTCAATACAATGTTCTTTAAACAACGTCAATGATTATGTGAACAAGGCTGTCGATCTTGTCTTTAAAGATAGCAACGAATTGATTGCACTTGATCCTCGTAAGAGCTGCATCGATCAAGATCCACGTGTAAAAGCAATAAGACGTACAGTCATGACTTCAATTAATTAATACCTTCGTTTCCCTTTATGTTCTCAACAAAAATCTTTCAAAACAATCTAATAATGTCTGTCGGCTTTGCTATTAAGAAAAATTCCAGAAATTCTATTTCGAGCTTGCTGCATTACCCAGTTAAAAAAATGACTTAAAATTAGATTAAAATCGATTATTTTCAGATTAATAATCTATTATAATGGCACTATTATAATCTGATTAAAATCTGATTTTTCAGCATCAAAAGAAAAAATTATTCTGATTTTAACCTTTTTTATCTATCTTAATCGATTATCAAAATTTAATCTATTAAAACTGATTGCTAAATTTTTTTAATCGATTAAAATAGATTAAAAAAGATTAAAATCAAAATAATTTTTTCTTTCGATGCTGAAAAATCTGATTTTAATCAGATTATAATAGATTATAATCTGATTTTTAGGCGTTTTTTTTACATGGGTAACTAGTGGATCTTTAGTATGCATTCGGACAGTTTAGATTGATCATGTGTTAACAATTTGCTTTTCATAAGTTCTCGTTTTATTTCAGTTTTTTTTTTATTTTATGCCAGATACATGACACATTTCGTGGGGATAGGTTCGGTATAAAACAATCAAAATTGACGATTATCTGTTCTCATCTTGAAGTTACATTGAAGGATTTTCATGCATGCTTTATAGGAAAAAAATTCTTCAATAAAATTAAAGTATAAATAGCTCTACTTAATCTCTGAAAACTAGTGGAAATATATAAATAACCTTAGGGAATGATATAGTTATATTTTTATCCTGGTTTTAATGTTTTTACTTCAAATATTTTCGTATCGGACTCTTTTTATATGGGGCTCAAGCTAAATATAAGCTTGATCATTCTGAAATAGAAGCTATTTGGCCTACTTTACATGAATGTTTGTTATTAAAACGACGCAATATCAAGAAAAAAGTTTTGAAGGAGCCTCATCTTCGTACTCAAGGTAAGTTAATTAATTATCTGTTTTAATATTTAATCATCAACGTCGAATACTTATCCATCTAGATAATTCATCGAACATTGATTCACAATTACAACAACGTACAACAGTCGATATTGATGCCAATGGACAAGGACAAGCCTAATCAAAGACATATTTTTTGTTTATTTTTCATGTTCACTGCTGTTTGTTTTTTTTACTTGTGTTGAAATAAAGCTGTAGTTGAAAGACTAAGTACGAAACTGAACTGTAGATTTTTATGAAAAGAGCAGTTATATGGTCGCAGTATCACAACTAAAGTACCGGTTAATCGTAAAAACACCAATGTTAAACCGCAGTTAACCAGAAAAAAAATAGCGGTTTACCGCGGTTTATCGGAAGAAACCGTCGGTTTACCGCGGTTTACCCCGGTTTACCGGAAGAAATCGCCGGTTTACCGCGGTTTACCGGAAGAAACCGCCGGTTTACCGCGGTTTTGGGAGCCGGTAACCGGACCGGTAAAACCGCCGGTTTTTTGCCAGTTCTCATCACATGGGATATTTACATCGGATTTAAACCGATTTCAAATGGATAAATTCGATGATGATGATCTTGTTTCATTATTTAAACGATGTGCTTATAATGTAGTTATATCAACTGGTTGTAACGTAACACTTAATGGTAAATGTATTCCCATAAGATTTTTTCTATTCAATTTTTAAAAATTCTTTTTTTGTTTCTTTTTTGTAAACAGATGATATATGTTGATGTATATTGAAACAACAAAAAAAGAAATTGTTTATAAAAAAAAAGTCATTGATTGTTGGGATATTGGTGTTGCCAAAAATGATTATAATAATGATTTTCAACAAGCCAGCTTTGTTGATTCAATCTTGACATCAGAAAATGGTAAACATATTGATTATATAACTGAACAAATATGTCCAAAACTTGTTGAACATATGAAAAAGAAAAGTAAAGCTGCTGCTGCTGCTGCTGAAAATCTTAAATCAATGCAAGTTGAAAATCATTTGTTTATATGTGTTAATTGTTTAATTGAATATCCGGAATTTGAATCACAAGCTAAACAAAACAAATTAGCAACTGAAGGTAAACATTTTTGTTCAACATTTCCATTAAAAGATGATAAAAAAAATTTTTTAAAGGTATTATAAAAAAAAATCGGAATTGTTCAATTATTTATTAATTGTCTTGAACATCCACAAGATGCTAAATTACAAAAACAAAATGGGTCAAAGATATCAAAATGAAACGGTACATCAAAATTGGATGAATGCAAATGTGGCTGGTCTTGGTGTTATTGGTCGTGATCGTTATGTTTATCCATTAAAAGGTAAAATATTAAATGTTCGAGAAGCCTTAAATTAAAACAAATCAATTTTTGTATAGGTAAGACTTTACCTTTTGCTTTTTTTTCTGGTCTTGCTTTATTATTATTTAATAAAAATGATCAACTATTATTAACATATTTAAATGAAGATGGTATGAGATGAGTATTGAATCTAAATGATATTGTCCAATCATTCCAACTGTTCTTATTAATGATGCTCACATATCCTCACCTCAGCTCACGCGTACCCCCAAACTCTTCATTTTTAAACATAAATCTCTTTTTTTTATTTTAAAATTTTAATTTTAATTGATAATATCAATTATTAATCATTACCATGTCACATCGAACATTTTTGGGAGCGACGTTATTTCTCCATAAGCGTGTATTTGGTGATAAATATGATCCTATTATGGTATCATGTCACTTCTGTTTTTTGAAAGAAGGTTTCGTCGTCATCGATGTGGCAGACGAAGTGAGAATTCTGTATGTCTTTTTTTTGTTTATTTGTTTCATTTTTTAGGAAAAAGAGGTTTTACCTTGTAATCAACCCAGTCCCCAATTTTTGGAAGTCACGTATCGAAAAGGTGACATTAACATACAAACAAAACAAGCTGTTGATCAACGGTTTTACTATTTAAATTTAAAAGTAATGTTTTATTATTAAAATTTAATGGCAAATTTTTTTTATTTAGATCAATAGAAACCATACAATACCTTTTTATCAATAGCTGATTATGTCAATAATGGGTAATCTAAATAATATTTTTTTGGTTTAATAAATTTTTTTTTACAAATATTTTAGAAAGGTATATGATGATGAAAATTTAATCAAAAAGTTACACGAGTTCATCAGCAATTCTCTTGCTGATTTTGAAACATGTCATGGTGATCAAGATGGTCCAGGTGGTCAAGGCGGTAAAGGTGCCATAGGGGGCGGAAAGATTTCAGTCTAAGGTAGGCTCAACTTTTTAGCCAAATAAGATCTAACGATTTGAAAATATTAGGACTGGAATTAGATTCAAATATAGTTGATACAAGTCGATCAACATCGATGAAGACTTTATTCATCATCAAGAAAAACCAATTAAAATCGATTTTTTTTTTAATGAAGTTTTAAGTTTTTCGATTGCTTCTGATTAAAATCGATTAAAATTATATCATTTTCATCGATTTTCTGTTAGGTTTAATTGAGTTTGTTTTTTTATTGCAACTCTGCTATTTTACATGGCTGCTATTTTTGAGATGTTTGAAATCATGTATCAACATTCAGGATTCACACATACTTTGAAGTGTTCTAACATAAAAAGAACATTTGTATTTGATTGAGTGATGTTATCAATTCACTGTACTAAATATTCTCAATGCATACCTAAAAGAATATGATACGATTAAATGTTATAAATGACTAACACAACAATGAATCTTGTTGAGATCCGAGTGAACCTTCGGCAGTAGTTAACAAACATTCATATGTACTTCGGAATGATCTATTAACACAAATAATATTTGAGAGTCACTGGCAGATATTATTGGTATACTCTACTAGTCTTCAGTAGAATATATCTGGAAGATGAGCAGTTTCATCTAATCTTGTGTACTTATAATAGTACGATGATATGGGTTCAGATCCACACGGACTACAGGTGGTCATGCCAAGATTAATAATAATCATAACCTTTTTAAGTGGTTTTTTTCTTCTACTTGATCATTACTAAATTTTCTTCGTGATTTAATTAATCTTTTTGAATTTTCTATCGACTTTTATTTGAGTATTTATATTTTCTTATAAGTCATCTCGGATTTTTAACAGTAATTTATATTTAGAGAAAAAAAAATTATCATTTCACATAAAAAAAAGTACAAATATCACAATAATGATTGTTACGAAGAAAATTCATTACGTTGTTTCGATGTTGATGATGTTCCATTATTAAATTTAAGATTTTCTCGTTTCTCTTTCATCCTTCTATTTTGAAACCTAATGCAAGATTAAAAAAAATACTCATAGAATAAAAAAAATCTTTTTTTTTAATCTATAAATGATTGTCATACCAAATTTTAACTTGTCGATCACTCAACTGAATTCCAGCAGCAATTTCTGATCGACGTTTACGCGTTAAATATTGACTAAAACGATATTCTTTCTCTAATTCGAATGTTTGTGTACGTGTATAAACTTGTCGATGTTTTCGTCGAATTTGGTCTCCTAAGAAGATACAAAAAAAAAAACCCGACTATTTACCTTAAGAATTCTATTGATTTGTATAATAATCGAGTGTTTTCTTTCTTATATATACCTTTCATCCATTCATATACATGATTTTTCTCAGATGTTGATGTTGTTTCTTGTACTTCTCTTTTTAAAACTTTTGGTGGTAGTGGTGCAGTATTTTGTAATGATGCAGGCTGTAGAGTCTGACAAGGAGGAGACAACTCATAAACAGGTGGTAATCGAGGTTGATTTTGTAAAAGAAGAATATTGGATTCTTGAATGAATGGTTGAGATGATTGAATATCATAAATAGATGAACCGTATCCGAAAGATTGTTGGGGTGTAGGATGATAAACATAAGAAGGTGGTGGCTGATAGTCAGATTTGTGATGATCATAAAAGCAATCAACGGCATCTGATTGATAGTAAGGTATACTACCTAACGATTGTATAGGTTGAAGCGAATGATGATCGTAATAATCGTTAGTCGCCGGTGAGAGAAGATAATTTACAGCGGATGTCGTACCGTCCATATTGATTTGATCGTTTAAATAGGAGAAAAAAAAAATGGTGTACACACAAGCGATAGTCAATAAATATCACTTTTTAACTACCGTTTTGAAAAGAAACTAACAGACTATTATTGTCGTTATAGCAAAAAAAAAGAACATATTGAGAAATGATGGTTAGAAGAGAGAACACTTGAGATTTTCATATGATTAATTTCGTATGTGTACAAATGATAAGAGAGAGAGAAAAGTAATGAAAAAAATATCATTGGTCAATATCTTAGTTTTTTTTTCCGTTGGCTCACATAAATCATATAACATCAGGTAAATCATCGCTCATGTTTGCTTTTTTTTCTCGCATTCGATATATTAGCTAATGCATATTACAAAATCTACTGATAGTATACTGTCATAAAATCTATCAAATTCGAACTATGTCAATTCATTCTAATTGAAAAAACAATTGAATATTCTTTCTAAACGAATAATATTTAAAAACAAAAAAAAAAAGAAGAAAGAAGTAATTGAATATTGTGAAGAGAGAAAAAAGAACGTATGGCGGAATACATCATAGGAAATTGATAAGCAATAACCAATGATAATTTATGTTTGCTCAACATACAACATATTCGCTCGTAAATGTGTCTGCCAACATTGATTCGTAACGGTTTCACACGTAATATTATTCGTTGTTGACCATCTGTTAGTTAGAATGATATTTTTATTTTCATTCATACTTCAAAAGTTATTTGATGATCAATACCGTATGGAAACAAGAAAATTAATAAGAAACTTTTGATGTTTTGAACGATGATTCGCTTAATGTTTCATTTGATTTTATTTGATTTTTTGATTAATTTTAGATAAAAAAAAAAAAAACTTGGGAAAAAGAAACAGTATTGCAAAATATGAATTATGCTACTGAATAATAAATTTTAAGTGGATATATTCTATATTGATTTGACATTGAGTCGTTTGTGACACTACAATTTTTTTCTCGTACTCATTTTCTCAATTTGTAATCTTTGTCTTGTTTCACATTACTGTTAAATTGAGTTATAATAAGCAAAATCTAGTAGAAGATGAGTATCGATGAAGAGAAGTCCAACTTATATTCTAATCTATCTGGTATGTAAGACGTCAATAAAATAAACGAATACTTTTGATCACCAACTGTTTTTCGAATAATGAGTTTTCATTATCTCATTTTGAGTGCTTTTGCATGATACACACAACTCTTCATTCAAACATTCAGCACTTTGCTTTCAGAGACTAAACAAATTAATGTATGACCAAAGCAATTAGTGAATGAGGCGCTTGTAGCTCTAGAAAAACTACATAGCATTTGAAAAGCATTGTTTTCTGGGTTAGTATTGTAATATATATATACATATAAATAAAATATAAATTGTTTATTTCGTACTCTATACATTGGTTCTTATCCAGGTCAACGATATTCTTAACTAATATTCTAATTGACAATAGTGTGAAATACCATAGAGTGAAGATGAGCCTGCTATCAGCCTGGAGCAGTACCCACACTTCATTGAGAAAGAACAATGTGAAATAAATGCTAAAAATAGTTGATGATTAAAAATGCTGCTACTTACTTTTACTGTTTTTATACAATTGGTACAAAAGATGTACATGATGTGTCTTCTTGATGCTTTGGTTGGAGGGAAAAGATGTGGGCACAGTAGAATTGGGACAAGAGAGACAAGTATGCTGGCAGGACACTCCATAATTTTTAGAAGTGCAATGGACTTAAGATTCAACTGACCGTCGGAAATAGTCTGTCTGTTGAAGACTGGCTGAGCAAAGCTGTCTTCTTAAATTTAGCACATGGTTTTCTAACAATAGCTCAACGTTTGTGCAGAGATGATGAGAAAAATAGGGAGAGACTAACTCAATCTAGCTCCTTCCAAAATGGGAATTAATGGATGTTCGCATTGTAGAAACAAGCGAGAATAAATATAGTAAGATGATAAGAATCGTAGGCGATATTTACAGAATTAAAATTCAACTTGTTGTAACAAGTGTTTGTAAAATCTATAAATTCTAACGAAAAGAAAATTTATTGATTTTCTAATTAGATCTATAACGAAACAATTTTGTTTGAACTGAAATAAATTAGAAAATGTTCAAAACTATTGTTTCACTTATAACTTCCTTCTAGAATCATTTAAGGAAAAGATTGAAAAACCTATTTTTAATGATAAAAAGTGGTTCTATTTATCAGCAAAGCGGATTAGTATAAATAAGATACGAATGTTTTTTTCAAACTTTCAACAAAAATAAACAACGATGAGTATGGGAAAACTTTATCATATATATTTGTTAGTATTCAATATCGGATTGAGTTGAACATTCACGGTAAAAATTGATTTAGTCTATAGGTTGATGTGGAATTCGGATTCTTATTCGTGAACTGAGAAGGAATAATAACGTTTCAGCTAATACAATCATGAGTTGATCAATTAAGTTCAGATCCATGAATTTATGCACAATTTTATAATTATAAATAAAGTTAGTAGAGCGAAACAATATCGAGAATAAGCATGATTAGAAAACCAGAAATGTCGAAAATGATACAATGCAGTTTGAATACATACTATTCATGTAAAATTACAAGGGATAAATACTGTTGCAGTTTGTCTATAATGTTGGTGGAAAAATATGCTTAAGCTCTATTAATATTGTCCTAGACAAAAGTAGCCATCTTCTCTCTAAACAAAAGCCTGTCCTTCAATGGTTCACCTACAGTGAAGTTATGATTCATTCCTTTGCAGAAAAAAAAACAGATTCAGCAAGAATATGCGTTCAAAAAGTTCGTTTTTTTATTTTGTTATTGCACAAGCATCAAAGATCGTGACAAATCGTTAAAACCTTAGTAGTTAATACGGTCTAAGATAGCAAATCCATGTCGTAGTGTTAACTTGACTGCATTTAGTGCTGTGTTTCTAAAAATTTCTGAACAGATTTGTCATCTATTCTCTTCAAAAGATATTTTCATGAGAAAATGATATCTCAGTTATTTTAAAGTATCTACGACAGTGACCTTTTCGGACGAAGACAGGCAAAAATATTTGTGTAAACATGGTTGAGGTAAAGTGATCACGGGAAAAAGATAATGTCTAAATCATAACTTCAGCACATGTGAATCAATGAAAGGAGGGTTGTTGCATGTGATCAAGTTTTATTGTTGTATGCATGCATTCAAAATGTCAGTTCA